TCTATTCTATTCTATTCTATTCTATTCTATTCTATTCTATTCTATTCCATTCCATTCCATTCCACTCCACTCCACTCCACCCCACCCCACCCCACCCCACCCCACTCCACTCTATTCTACTCTCTATTCTGTTCTACTCTACTCTATATTATATTCTCTATTTTACTCTATTCTATATTCTCCATTCTATTCACGTTTCCTTTTAAAAAAAGAGTTACTACATAAACATAATGTGTAAAAAGAGTTACTACGTAAACCGTTAATGTATAGGCATCTCTCTACGTGGATGTTTTAAAGACTATTTTATTCATACAACTACATATCTTTACAAGAAAAAAGAAAGTATCCGATACCCCTATTTGTTCCACCTTGCTGCAGCTTTGGAAACTAAGATAAAGGAGACAGGATGAGTTTCCCACTCAACAGAGATACCAACCCTAGCACCCTGGACAGCAGAGGGAGGGTTGCCATTTTATTTCCTGTCTAATAAAGTCCATTTACAGGTAGTCCTTGATTTATGACCATAAAGGAGCAGTCATATTCTAACAGTTGTAAAATGGATTGGCCATGTGACCAATCCAATTGTATGACCTTTTTTGTGGCAGTTGTTATACAAACCAATGGTTTGCTATGGGCACATTTTTGTCAAAAATGGAATCAAGCTGGTTTCTGGCAAAACTGTTGTAAAACACGGCCATGAGACCACAGGACTCTGCAAATAGAGTTGCCATAAATGGCATAAATGCATTTGTTTTGCCAAGCATCCAAAGTTTGGTCATAAGACCACAGAGGGAAACTGACCATTAGGACTTTGAATCTGGATCATAAGTCCCCTTTTTTGGGTCAGTCAGAACTAAGCAATCAGTCATAAGTTGAAGACTACCTGTACTTTCTTCTAGGATTACATTCTTTAATTGTCAACTATTTAAAGGGAAAAGGAAGTAAAGAAAAAGGTTATGTCAAGATATGTGTATATAAAAGTGACAGCATAAGTGCTTTTCGCTGTCTGGGATCATGAAAGAATTCTAAGTCTAGTAGGATTCTATGGTCTTGGTTATAAAAGAAATGACAAGAAAATTGGTAATGTGCTACCATTACCAATACTACTACTATAAAAAAATAACTATTTTTATCATAATAAAAAATAACTCAGATTTAACTCAATGATTATTAGCAGATGTAGACAAAAATGAGAATTCTGTATTCTTAGGTAGTTATTTTGCTTACCATATGACAGGGGTGTCAAACTGGATTTCTTCAAGGCCCAGATCAGCATTGTATTTCTCCTCTGTGGGCTGGCCGGAGGGGAGGGGAAATGGCCTGGCTGGCCTCCTGCTGACTTCCCTGGCTGCCAAAGGCACCGCAGGCCAGTCCTTTGCTATTTTCAGGCCAGCCCCGCAGGCCAGTTTTAAGCACCCTGCAGGCCAGATGTGGCCTGAGGGCCTTGAGTTTGACACCCCTGCCGTATGATATAACAACAGTGATACTTATCAATGTTATGCCCCAAGAATATTTAACTAGTTACAGTTGAAATAAAATAGTGGACTAAATAAACCTTCCACTTTATTTAGAGAGAGAGTTCTTTGAAGATTTCATTAGAGAACGTTTGTTTATATACAGTATTTGCCCGTTCATGTACAGTTCATGCATTATATGTAGCGGTTGGAATTACTGTTTTAAATTAGTAAAACTGAAGCATTTTTGTGATTCAAGGACACTCTTTGAGGCAAGCTCTTACATACTGGGGCTAATTGTTGATAGCATTCGGTCTTAATAATATTTCCTTTCTTTCTATCAAGTATTCTTAATTTTATGGAGTAAGAATTATTGTTGTAGTTTATGATTTATTGTTTTTTCAGAATGAGTTTTAATTTAATTTTAATTGAGGTTTATGATATATCTTGGTTTATATTTGCTTCACATTATAAATAATAAATTACAGCAATCATATTTATCCACATATACATTGTTTGAATTTTACTTCACCTTCTTTTATTTCAGAGCTGTATTAACCTTGCTGTCTTTATTTATTTCTACTAATGTCATTTAGCATATCTTTATGTTACCCAAGTCACTAGAAATACAATTGAGCAAATTGAAAAGCTAAATGTTATTAAGTGGGGGGGAAAGGAACAGCCAAAATGAAAAACATTACTCTTTCCTTTTAGAAAGGCAGTACAATTCCATGTTTTGCTTCCTGTTTATGAACTGGATCTCTGTCAGTATAGTGGAAAGACTGAACAATATTATTCCCTGTAATCAAGATTTAATTGTGTATTAAAATGTAGGTGCTTTCCCGTAAGTATGTTATTATATTTTCTTCCCATTTGTGTTCTTTACCTCCTTTTCTCCACTTTTTTAGTATATTAAAGCATATACTGAAGAATCTTACAAAGCATGAGATAATTTAAAAATGTTTAGAGAACACCTGAACATTTTGGAACATTTTGGAAAAAGTCAATAATAAATAGAGAAAAACAGTAATGGGCTGTGATAATTCCTTGGGAGAGAAGAGGAAGAGCTGCAGCCTGGTCTAATAAAGAGAAATGGGACTCCAAAGGAAGGATGCGGGTGGAGAAAGCCCTTCAGAGGGGACCTTCCCTAGTTCTCTGGAAACTAAAGGCAGGGAAGCTGGGGGAGGAAGCGTTTTCAGACTTGTGAGATTGTGTTACTGTAGCCCTGCAGTGAAGTACTCATGGTTTTGGTTTCCTGTCTGGATTACCTCCAGGAGTTGGCACAAATTTACAATCTTGTTTGCAATTCTTTACCCACAGATACAGCTAAATTCATTTACTTCTTGGTAAATATAACTAGCCAAGTATAAATTACGTGATATTTGAGCTCATAATAACTGAGCTCATAAATGATATAATTTCTTTGTTAATTATTCTCCAATATTCTCTATAAGAATTCCTAACATACTGTTAATATAAAGATTCAGCCACACCTTTAATACAAAAAGGTTGTGCAGGGTGATAAATTATGTGTTAATGTATGGTTTTGATCGGCAAGAATTCACTAAAATATTAAAATTTAGGAAAGATCTGAAGCGTTTAAAAGTTTGAATTTGACTTGCAAACAAATTCTCGTAACGCTTTTTTCCTTCTAAGCATAGCTGTACTTTGGTTTTTGACAGTACAGACAGTGGTATTTCTGTCATTAAGCAATGCAGTCATAAAGTGTAACTGCATCGCTTAGCAACAGCAATCATATTATTGTTGGCAGTCACCAACTGTTGCTGTCAATTGAATTCTGCCATTTATTAGCCAAAGACTCATCCCATGACTCTGGGGCAACTTGCCATGTTGTGGTTCAGGGGTTTCTTGGCACAGCAGGGCTCTGGAGCTGCAAGAAGCTCCTAAGCCATGGCCCAGCAGTGTGGCATGATTTGAAGCTGCAGCCACCCTGGAAGCCTCAGACACTCCCAGCTGGGAAGCCTCAGCTGTCCCTTTTCCAGTCCCAGCTGCAGTTGCCTTCACCACTCTGTGTTGCCCTGCTCTAGCTGGCCTTCATTCCTTCTTGGCTCCTCCGGCTGATGAGGCTTGGCCACCCATTCAAGATGCATTTGCTGACCAACTCAGGCCATCTTCCTCAGGTCTTGTGAGAAACTCACCATGTATCACCTCGTGTAGATTACAGAAAGCCTCGTGCTGCCTCATGTAGAGTCAGGCTGGACATGTTTGTTTATCAGCAAGAGCAAGAAGACTGTAGCTAGGGTTGAAGGGCCACAGAGTATCCAGCC